ATTTGCTACTGGTACTTGGCACACAAAAGCAAATTGTAAAGTTTTTGACTCAAATGTGTTTTTAATAGAGCAAATAAAGTATAGTCATGTCTGGGCTTCCGTTAATCTTTCATTTGGCTACAATAAATTGTCACTTTCTCCGCCATTGGCTAGATGAATCCCTGCTGGTATGTACAAGTATTACTGATGTATTATTTTAACAAGCCATTAGCTATAGACTATAAATCTGGTGAAAACAGAGATCAAAAATTCTAAATTGCTGATTCAAGTTAGTCAGCAAGCAATTTTTTAAGTTGGATGGCTTATCAAGACCTGTAAAATGTGATAATACTTGACAATTATTAAATTCTGACCTTATGTCAAGATTACATGTAATAGAAACACAGTTATGTGACCTCACCAGGATAACTGGTTAAATTATGAACATGAAGACAAATCTGTGACGCTTGAGCATTTTCTGGAGGAGAACACTGACAAGTATGAGAATACAAATGATAACTATATGTTTGGAAAATTTTGAATTTTTTTCAAAAATGTTTTACCTAAATTTTCGTGGGAAAAACCATGATGTTCAAATGGTTGCCATGTCATCAACCAATCAGAATTGTATATTCAGTCATGTGATATTATCATGTAATTTCTATACCTCCAGTTGTCACAATGCCAGTTATTGAAATTCAAACAACAGAGACGTCTGAACAAGGAATCACTGATGGCGACGATGTGTCTATCCAAGAGACAACAACATCAATCCCGAAATCATCAAAGAATGAGATGAAATCCAAACTCATGTCATCACACCCCACCAGACATCAAGATAATAGTCTTATTAATGGAATTGAAGTACCAACATTGGACCCTGCAAGTCACTTTGAAGCTTGGACAGCAGACTCAGCAGAAAGGTATTTAACATTTCTATTCAGTGATTTTTACAATTATAAAATCTTTAATAATAAAAATGTAAATTGACGTATCGTTAGACCAAAAATCGGTTTTACTTCTTATCTCAAGGAGTATTTTAAAATGATGCAGTAATGTGGCTTTTATTTTATTTGTGTTAAGAGTATTCAATGCTGTAGCAAGTGGATATCAAAAGTATTCATAGTATGTCCAACTTTTACCACTTGTTGTATCATTTTTGAATACATTCATTTAAAATGTGGCACGTACACTGCACTACCGGTAGTATGTAAAATGGTCAACAACAAATGTATGAAGCACTATACTCATCTTAACCTTTTCATCATTAGTTCTCTCTTTTCATCACAAATTCACAAAATAGTCCTTCACAAGGATTGGATGAAAATAGCCAAATTTTTTAAGTAAAAACTGAAGATTTACTCAAATTTTGAATGTTGGCTCCAAAAATAGGATTCACTTTCAAAAATATTGAAGAATTTAAGAAAAAAAGTGCAAAACAAATTGGGTGAGAAACTCAGGTGGTGAAAATTTCAACAGTGCTGTGGACATTGATTAAAAACATGTTTTGAAAACACCTGTACAGAAATGTTTTGCATTATTTGTATCTATGGTATACAGTAGATAATATTTGGTAGTGATTGTCCTAAGTTCATGTAACTATTCAAAACAACTAGACATTTTGAGTAATGGCTCTTTGTCTAACAATTTATTGCTAGGTTCACACGACAGCATTTTATTGGAGCCCAACAGCTCAAGCCAGCTCAAGCCAGCAAAAATGGCCGTGTAAACGCTTTCGGCTCAAGCCAAGTTCGGCTCCACTAAACCCTCGTTGTTGAACTCCAATAAGGTTGAGTCCCGACATGGCTCCGATCGTGTAAACGCATCGGGCCCAACTATCGGAGCTGATATCACGCCCTCAATCATCTTCTTCTCATTTCAATCATGGCGGAGACAACATCTTTCATAATTTCATGCAATTTCAGGCTTGAATAAGAGGTACGCGTTCTAATATATAGTAACGAATTATTGCGATAGATTGATAGCTCAACGGGAAACAAAAAAATGGCGTACGACATTATGCGACAAAAACTTGAAAGAACGACTGAACGGAAACTTTTTAAAGACACTAAAGATAAAAATCTTAGAAGCGATCGCAGTACGGTGACGTGTTCCTGGTAGGTTTAGATTCTTCCATAGTTTCTCTATGATAGAGATAATCTGTGATACTAGTATCTAAATCATAATACCAGTTATTGTCTTTTCTACCTCTATGCTCAGGCTCTTTTTTCTCCTAGCTCAACAGCATCATGCCTTGTAAAGAAAAAACACAAGCAGGACACTAAAATCGTTTTCAGTCACTAATTATTCAAGGGCACTGTTCCGTTCGACTCTGATCGAACTGAATCGAACTCTGACAGATTTCGGCTCTCGTTCGGCTCCCGACCGTATGAACGCATTGGAGATAATCTCCTGTTAATCCGTGGGAAGAGAAGTAGTTCGGCTCCGATAGAATGCTGCCATGTGAACATAGCATATAGCTATATTGGTTGATAAGTGGAATGTATTTTTGGTGTACCGTAGTTTTCATAAAAAATTCACAGCCAATTTGAATTATGCTACAATGTAAGCAGTACATTATGTAATCTGTCTTGGTGTATTTATATTATAGTGGGACACATGAAGACAATCTATTGGGCCTGGAAGGCCAACAATTTATTTTTGTTGCCCAGCAACCAGACACAAACAGTGCTAGTACACAAACCGAGTTGTGTATGAGAGCAGCAACAAAAAGAGAGCGAGATCGACTTAAAAAAAGAGAATTGAGAAAATGTCCAGAATTTAGGTAAGCAAGGAGTGAGTGATGGCAGCTGAGATGACATAACTGTTTATTTATTGACACAACACTGATTTTGGAAAGTACAGGAAAGTCCATTAACATACATACATCTATAAATATACTATGGGGTGCTGCGGTCTTATTTTGTGAGCAAAGATTGCAGATTTTATTTTCTGTTGGTGATTTTGGTTATAGTGTGCCTCCCTTTTTTTATTTTGAGGTTGCCAATCTCCCTGCATGCTCGGCTGCAAACAAGGTCAATGTTTCCCTATGCTGGTCTGCAAACGATGTCAATCTCCCTATGCTGGTCTGCAAACGATGTCAATCTCCCTATGCTGGTCTGCAAACGATGTCAATCTCCCTATGCTGGTCTGCAAATGAGGTCAATGTTCCTGTATACTGGGCTTCTGCACTAACCTTGGCTTGAAATTTAATTATTATTTAAAAAAATTGGTTGGATTAAAATCCTATTTGCCAAATATAAACATTCCTACTTTATTTACCATATTTTAAACCTGATATTGGTTCTTTTTCAATTGGCAATACACGACTCAATATTATTTTATTAATATTTGGCCAATAAATTGGGCATTTTTAATTTGGTTTAAAACATTGAATAACAGCCATTATTATACATCTGTCACTGTAAAGCCATAAGTAACAGCATGTATTGCGGTATTGCACTAGATATTTTCATCCTACCACTGGCACATAAGGTAAAGCAAAAACATGCATAATTGCTGCCCCCAGGGTTTGACCGTACCCCACACAAAGAAGTTTGCTAAATCTGTTCTAAACGTTTTGGATTTAGGCATTCTCGTGATGTATTCCTGGGAGGAAAAGATTATTATGAGGATACTGCAAAGTATGCATTCAGAAAGTACACTGTCACATCGACCTCTGCTGTGCGTCAGTCGATACTCCCGCTGTACTGTCTTTGTGAATACTTTGCAGTATCCTCGTAATAACCTCATATTATATTAGACACAATTATTTTCAACCATCTTTTGGACAAGAACATAAATAATGTCCAATAAAAAAAAATATTGACCAATATATAATTTCCATTTGGCTACTTCATAAAATTGAACAGATTTGATTTTGGGAAGTTGATTGAAAGTACACATAATGTTACACTCTTTGTTATGTTTTGTACTATATTTCCTTCCTTCTTTTACTCTTGTTTAAAATATATTACTTTCCTTGTCACCATTAAAAATTTCCTGTGACCATAATGAGCCCCAGAAAAATGTGTGTTTATGGTCATTGCATGTTCACAATTCAGAAAAAAGAAAAAGAAAAATTTGATTGCCATGAAGAATAACAAGCAGCCTCTCGGCTGAGATAGCTCCGCTGTTAGCAATGCACATTTCAATTAAAGAACAGAAGATATCATTAGAAAATGAACAGTATGCATAGTATCAATGCAATGGGACTTGCTGTTTTCAACAAAAATTCAAAAATATCATTT